TCAATATCACAGTGAAATTGGTTGTTATGAACACTTGCAGAAGCAGCAGATAATAAACACATTTCTTTGCTTTCAAAGAATAAGATGCTGTGCTGTAAATAAATCATTACATTACATCAAAGGTACTAAAATCAACAATCACCTGATCATCATTGGCAAGCCTTGTCTGAACTCCATTTTTTTCCTAATTAAATGAGAAAAGAGAGTAGAAGAAATCTTTGCACAATGTCCCTCACACAAAAGAGTTTCTAACTGTAGGGGGTAGAATGATGCATCCATTTCCACTTACTGTATTAGGGAACGACTAAATTACTTGGAGCTCCCTTTCTGCATGTACACTTATGAGTAATGATATAATTTTCTAAATCACATAAAAATACATAAACAGGATTCACGACAGTTCCATGCCCTATCTTTATGAGAATCCACGTGGGCACTAATTTTATAGACTGGTTCTTAAGGGAATTTTAAAAAGAGGCTACCTTTAGTTCTGTTGCAAGCCAGGCTACACGTCTGTATTGTACATATGTTAAGCTTTGGACGTGCAGAATGGTCATGTTTTGCTGTGTTTTGGCATCTGCGTGTAGAACCTGAGATCTTAAAAATTCACTATTTCTCAGCGCTCACAACTTTTCTTATAAAATTAAGCTTTCATTGCCAGTCTTAATATTTGAGTCATTGAAAGCTCCTTTTTAAATGGTGAGTGACCATAAAACCAGCAACGCGAGTTTCATTTTAATTGATTTTGTATCTTCATCACCACTCCTTAAAAAGAATCTTGTCTTATTACTAGAGATAATGTATGTGTCAAAAAAGAAGCCTCAAATGCACTTCCTGTGCACTTGACAGGGTGACAAAATATTTCTCCTATCCTTTCCTAATTGAGCTGCAGTACAAAGGAGGACATTATAATAATATTAATAATAGTTACATGGATATTTGTAGGTACTGTGTAACCCTTCAGTCCATTTTCCCAGACAATAGTGGCTACAAAGAGGCTTCAAAATAGAACATCGCACAATATGAATGCCACTTTTTTCTATCTTACATTTTAAAAACATCATTGAAATCAGAAAGTTCATTTACAAAGGACTGGCAGTTGCAATCACAGCAATAATGTAGTGCTGAGAAAAAAAGGGTAATTGGTTTGGTAAAGATCGCTTTCCATTACACCATAAAGCACTACACAATAGGAAAGGTCGCCAATTAAGCAATCATGAATACCAAGTACTGAAGCTGATGAAAATAGGGCAGTGGTTTAAATAGATTTGCAAGCAATTTACCTTTTCACAATGTTGGCAATCTGATGCAATTTGCTTGCAATTTTGTCTGCTTTCAGTAGCACTCGAAGCTGACACTACACAGACCAAATGGCAAAGAGGCCCTGCATAGAAAATGTAAAACTATCTTGGCTGCATCAGGAAACCAGAATGGTGGTTCATCAGGAAAATTACAACAATTAACATAAGTGCTGCAAAAATCAACACTTTAAATGTCACACTCACTAGTCTGTCCAAAGACTGTGAAAGTACCATCCCCATTGCCGGACTAACAGTAAATATGAAGCAATCACCACCAAACCTTGGGGCTGATGGCTTTACAATTGATGTGACATTCTCTGAGTGATAAAATAGCCTCTCATTTTACAAAAGTAAGTATTTTTCTTTTTTAGACTTAACCTGGATTATGTCAACACAAAATTTACGTTTAATTTTTTTCAACTTTTTCGACAAAGCCATCTTGGGCCTGGGTGGGTGTAGTTGGTCTTGACATTTAAAAAATAACTTTATATTTCAGAGAATTAGAGCCAAGTTGATAAAAAATAATCCCTCCTCAAATATTGATCGGGTGCTTTCAAATGTAAATCATGTTCCAGATTTATGTCGAAAGCTGTTATACTGTGTGAGGTACAGTGTGTCTGACTAGAGCCTGTTTTATTATCTTACAGAGGGCTCCAAAAAAGCGTCTGTGGATATTCCCGGGAGGACTGCCTGGAATTACAGATGCCATCACATATCTATATCAATGTATTCCCAGCTAAAAGTTAGACACCTTGGAAATAATTGATAACTTCTTCTTTGGCATCCATGGTTTGAGAAGCTATAAATTTGTCAGGCTTTGAGGGGAATTGGCTTATAGTGTAAACCTAATGATTTCTCAGTGAACTGGGAGGATCCAGCAGGGAGAGAACAAGAGTGGAATGTCAGAAAATCTAAGTTTAATTTTCATCTCTATATTGGCTGACTGGGGGAGTTATTTTAGGTCTGTGTCTACAGAGGGCCCACCTTCCATTTTTGAGGGAATTGTCTGATTTTTTCGGCTTACGAACAAAGTTGGACTTCCCCCTCATGAACTTCTCTGTCTTGCTTGAGCTTGGACACCATGATTTCCATGCCAAAAGAGAAAGGACAGTATCCCACATGCATTTGTGTGACACACACGCCAAGAAGAGAGAACAATTTTATTATGTGCTAAATGAAAAGGCCCCTTGTAATCACAGGCACCCTGTCCCCTGTTCACTCTCACCGCACAACAGGGCTCGTCTTTCACTTCTTCTTAGTCTATAAAAAGTCATTTCTTATAAGGGAATTCAGAGTTGGCCTGTAGAAGCCAGGTTTGTCCAAAACTATGGGATCTAATATAATGTGGTGACACATATCTCCCTAGATGACTTCTCTTGTCATCACTAATGAATTGTCTCATTCTGTCAAGAGTTACTTCCCCCCAGACACCTTCCTCCCTACTACTCTGTACTAAGCAACAGTGTCAACTCTGGGGAAAGGTTTCATCAGCTTCCTCTTGCCGTGATCATCTTAACGAATGTCAATAAGCGGTTCTCTGCTGACAGGGTCTCTGTCATCCATGCTGCCAACGAAGACCAGCCGCAGACACTGAGGGCATCGTCCAGACGACGGGGGTTCAAGGTTGCAATGCTAGCTCTTCAGGAAGCTGTTCGTTGTGTGGCTGAAAGTTGAGGGAGGAGCTGTGCCATCTTCTCAGAAGGGTTTACATTTCTGTGAGGGGAAGCCAGCACAAGTACGGAATGGTTTCTTCCCCGGTTTCAGGTGGCCTGTTTGCAGCTATTTCCTGAAGCTATGCCTGCATCTGATGCCTATTCTCTGACAGATTCCCAGAGAATAAGTCACTACAGGAAGAGAGTGACCTTCTGTTGCCACCCGCAACGTGACAGGGATGATTCTATGGAAGGGTGGCATCAGTTGCCTCAGCAGTAAATTACAGGCTAGGAATAGCAGGAAGATGTTTGCTATCTCACCAACACAAAATACTCTAAAGTTTGTAAGATTGCTTCCAGAGAAACAGACATTGAGAAGAATTAGCTTTTTTTCCTGTGTGTGTGTGTGTGTGTGTGTGTGTGTGTGTAATGCAGCATGGTCAAGAGAGGGGTATACAGGAGGGTGAGGAGAAACTATAGCTAATTTTGATAAATATAATGACCTGTGGGTTTTTTTTTTCTCAGCTGTTGATTGGTGCCACGAAAACAATTATTACTGGTTAATTTAGTTGCTGGCATAGTGCACAGTAAATATTTTTGTTGTATCACTCTTTATTAACTGCAGAAAAAGCATTTGGATTTTATTTATCAAGTTAGTCAAAAATCACACACAGCAACTCTATGAGCATAAAGCAGATAGTGTCAGAATTATCAAAGCTATTTCCACATCACTCTTCTAGTCTCCACGGTCCATCTCAGAGAAGGATCCGAATTTAGTGTAATCCTGTCGTCAGAGACTTGGATCTAAAAGATAGGATTTGCCAAAGAGGAGGTTCAGAATCTTTACTAGTTTGGGTTGAACTAAATATATACACTGGTTAGGGGCACCTGGGTGGCTCAGTGGGTTAAAGCCTCTGCCTTCAGCTCAGGTCATGATCTCAGGGTCCTGGGATCGAGCCCCACGTCGGGCTCTATACTCAGTGGGGAGCCTGCTTCCTCCTCTCTCTCTGCCTGCCTCTCTGTCTACTTGCAGTCTCTGTCTGTCAAATAAATAAATAAAGTTCTTTGAAAAGAAAAAAAAAAGAAAAAAAAATATATACACTGGTTAGACTAGTCCAATAAATCACATAAATTCTTATAAAAGTAGTCAGTGGGACTTGCCACACCAAGCAAGCAAAATACATAAAAACCATAGCCCCTTCCGGGGAAGAATGCCACTTGTCCAAATAAACATTTTTAGTCCTCAAAGTATTTTAGAAGACAATGAAATGAAACTATTTCTAAATTTACAAAAGTACTTAAACTATGAAAAAAGATTCCCTTGAATGATAGCTATACAGTCATTTTAAGGTCAGCTATGGATTGAATCTTGGTACTGGTATTTATTAGCTGTGCAGCCTTAAGCAAATCATATAATCTCTCTGAGTCCAAATTTTGTCAACCATAAAACGAGACAAAAAAATAAATCTTACAGAGTCTGTGAACAGTCAGAATACAGGATGAGAGGGGGACATACTAGATATTTAAATAAAGCTCTTCTGCTGTTATGTTTGTGGTTTCTGTTTTTGTTGTGAATGCTACGGCTGCTGGTTGGGAATCCAACCTGGTAAGCATTTAAGAGCTTCTGTTTTAATGAGGTTTTTTTTTTCCCCCATGTATTTCAAATGCAGACGGTGTATCCTTAGACAAATATGGAAATAGCTACTACATTCAAATGAGACAACCTATATTAAAAATGTTTAAATGTGCAATAAAATTTGAGCGACATTGCACTATTTCTTTTTCAAAGAGAGAAAAGGGCTTCAAGAGGTATTTTTCAAGGCAGAGTGAAATCACACTTTAATTCTTTGTCTTTTAGTGAATTGCTACAGAGTAGTTTACAAGATAGAAGGAACAAAATTCCAAAATCTTGGCCTACGTTCGAAAAACATAAATAGTTTAGTTTCTCTAAAATCCACAATATTAAGCAGAAAGTTTGGTTCCTATAGAATTTCTTATCCTCTTGGTTCTTGATAAACCGAGGAATCCATGCAGAAGACTTTGGGGAATGTCATTGCGAAGCCCCTTGGAGAGAAAGGAGGAAGTGAGACATTGTGTTCCCGAGCATTCAGAGCCTCCAAGCGAGGCTGCCATGGAATCCCAGTTGGCAAGAACTGGGCCAGGCCTAGACAAGCAGGACCCACAGTACCTTCCAGGTATTACTGCTTTAGGGCAGTCAGAGGATTCTGAATACTTTGGGAACTCTGGTTATCTCTGTTTGTCTGGCCATTCCTTTTTTTTTTTTCCTAAAGATTTATTTATTTAGTTAGTTAGTTATTTTAGAGGTGGGGGAAGGGCAGAGGGAGAGACTCTTCAAGCAGATTCCCTGCTGAGCGCAGAGCCCAATGCAGGGCTCCATCTCACCACCCTGAGATCATGACCTGAGCCAAAACCAAGAGTCAGATGCCACCTGAGTGAGCTCCCCAGGCATCCCAGGCCATTCTTAACTTCAGTGGAAGACTACTGGTAGATGTTTCCGACACTACCCCATACCCACAAGACACCTTCGATCTCTGAATCCAGCCACTCTGGGTTCCCACTTGGCCTGTGGGGGCTGTCATCATTCATGGAGCTTGTTAGTTCCAGTGGACGACAGTTCCACGTAGAGACCTACCACTATTTTTGAATACCAGTCATCTGATCCAGCTAGTATGCACTCAAGAAACATTTACTGAGACCTAGTATGAACTATAGTTTATGGGACACAGAAATAATTCATTGCCCCTGTCTCCAAGGAGATGAGAGGTAGTTTATGGCATATAAATATTTAAACAAAAGATAAAGAAATGGCAAGTACCATAAAAGAAATGCAAAATGCCAGCTGTTGAGATGATGCAAGTAAAGCCATAGTATAGGATGTAGTTATTTCATAAAACCTTGCCCTTTCCTTTAAACTAGATTGACACTGTTATGAAACAGTTGGTACTTGAGATCATCCTTAAATTCTTTACTAGGTAAGCTTTGGATAGATAGGGAAAGTATTCCAAGGTAAAAGAAAGAGCAGAGGAAGGAAGGAAGGAAGGAAGGAAGGAAGGAAGGAAGGAAGGAAAGGGAGGAGGGAGGGAAAGGAGGAAAGGAGAGAAGGGAGGAAAGGAGAGAAGGGAGGAAAGGAGAGAAGGGAGGAAAGGAGGTGGGAAGGAAGGAGGGGAGGGAGGAGGGGGGGGGGGAGGGGGGGAAGGAAGGAAGAAGGAAAGGGAGGGACCTCACTTATGCCAGACAATTCTAGTCCAGTTAGGCTAAAGTGCTGTAACAAGAGCATTCAGAATTCTATGTGTGATCCTGTTTGAGTTCACCTGAAAAATCCTGAATGCTCTGGGTAAATGAGTTTTCCCATTTATAACTTACACATCAAGCCTTTTATAAAGCATGTCCTCAATTACAGAATTTCCGTGTACATTGTAATTATACTTCACGTAAGCCTGGGAATAATAATCCTGTACTTGAATTATCTTGAAAGGATGATACCAAGTCAGAAAAAGGCTGAGTTTTCATTCTTCCTAGGTCAAATGATACTCTAATAAAACATGATGTTGTAATCTTATATATTCTTAATCTTTCAGGTTGAATCCAAACTTGGCCCCAGGCAAGCCAGCTCTTATATAAAAGGTTGTTACAGAGCAAATGAGGATTTCACCAGCTCAGGAACAAACTGCACTTTCCAGTTTACTGCCAGTTTGAACAGGAAGTTACGATTTGTGCCCATCCACAGGTCAATGAAAGTTTTTATTGACATTGGAAAACCTTGTGTACACTGAACTAATAAACCCGATAAAATCAGGCCTTCTGATTTCAAGTGCCTCCTCTAGCCAACTATAGCCACAGGATATTATTCAGTTATGAAAATTCCACTTTCAGAACATTCAGTTCCTTTTTCTTTGATTCCTCTTTAACACCCGGTCCTATGGTACCTCTATACTTGGACAGGACACTGCCATGTTCCCAGATCAGCTGGGAGCTACCCCGACTTCAAACAAACAAGACAGAGATCAGTTCTTCAGAAGCTATACATTGCCCTTCAGTCACCCCAGATGGATTCAAAGGGGTGAAGGGAAGATCTCGGGGGCCAGGATGAAGATCTCGGGGCCAGGATGATCAAATGTCACAGAGCTAACAGGTCTAACAGCCTCGCTGCTGTTGAACTACTTCATCTCTCCGCTCCCAAGTTTGGTGGGAATAAATATATTGCACAGATGGGACTATAACTGACCGTGGCCTGCTCCATTGTATGTCCAACCATCTCTAATTACAGCAACACACGAGAGGAAGGGATTTGAAAGGGCAGGTGACGGGAGAGGAGAGGAACCTGGTCTGACTTAAACAGCACAGGATCCCTCACCATCAGGCCTGATGTACATCAGCCTGACAGCTAATTAGGGTAGACATGAATTTTTCCAATGTAACAGATGTTCGCTAATCAGGCCAGATTTGGAGCCCTTGCGCCAGCAACATTTCATGCACAATTTAACTATCTAAAAGGAATAAACTACTTAATGCATTGTACTGAAGGCACAGCTGTTTCACAATCAGAAAATTTGCTGTCAAAGATGTTCTCTTTAAAACTGACATGTTTTTATATAACTCTGATGGGGTGTTTATAATGTATTAATAGTTGTCAGCAAGAGCTGCTGTCATCATCAGAAGTAAAATATTTCTGAAGGTATATTAAAATGAACAGACTCCTTTCTCTTCCCCCAAAATCCATTCAGATAATTTAACTAGGTTCAATGTGGTCTGCTGGGTTCCAAAATGTATTTGAGACAAAGAACATCAACGTATTCTTTCAGTTTATTTTAAATTTAAGACAAAACCATGCCTGTGCCTTGCTTTTTGGTTTAAAGGTTTAAAACAATCATAGGTCCACATTGGTTTACAAAGCTGGCTTTTTTGAATCGTTTTAGTTTTATGGAAATACACCAGGGGAACATCATTACTACACCAAAAATGTTTTATTGGGTAAAGTGAAGGTTTGACATCTTCATAAGCATGAACTAATTTGGTTAAGAATGAAATGGGATTTCTCTCTCTCTCCCCGTTTGCGCCTCCTGCACTGACCCTGTATTCTAAGAAAGGACTCCTAAATGTAAATGGGAAACTTTTTTCTTTGGACAGTTTGGTTTTTTAACTCGTTGTTTGTATTTTTTTAAATGTAAAGCAGAAAAATCTTTCATACCCTAAGAATATTGAAAAGTTCACATCATTTATGGATTGTCTTAGGAATCTGTATTTGAAGTAGACATTAAATATATGCTGGTGACTTCAAATTCTACAATAAAGACAAGCTGTAGGGCTGTAGTAATCTCTTTGTATTATATGCATAATTTAGCAGTTTGCTCATTTTTGTAACATTTTTAGCAGTTTCCCCACCATATTATGATTCATAACTCGTGTGCATTATTTTCAACCAATAACGTTAACAGTATCCTCAATTATGCTTTACCTATCAAGAGAGCAATGAAAGGTAGTGTAGTTTCTATGGTGACTAGGTTACTACTGACCCTCATTTTCATGCACTGGCCCCAGTAGATCTGTGACTCCTGAAAGGTACGATATTGAATTAATAGCACCCGTAGCTCAGATCTTCTGGCAAAGTCAAGGATGGGATCTTTAAAATCCAGTCTCAATTAAAGAACTGTTTTTAGGACTGATAAAGGAGTCTAAGATTCTCTGCTAGGACTTGAGGATCCTATTTTTAGAATATGTTTTTCTGATGTGATGACTTATCCGCTGGAAACTGGCTACAGACCAGATACTTAAAGAGTTACATTTCCAGAGGATGACAAATGAGACCACACCTAGAAAAGAGAGTTTTCATATCTGTGTTCCAAATCAAATTAGCCCTGAGAGATACTAAAAGTTAACTATACAAGGTGAAAAATGAAATGCCTTGATTTTGTCATTCTCCCTTTGGATATTCTGTGTAAGTAGGTTGTTTGCCATCTTCAACTCCAGTATCTTGAGGACTTGAATCTTTTCATCTTTATGCCAGTTTCAGAACCACCAGCAGTTCTTTCACATGGGGCAGTTTTTATAGATTATAGATATAGCTTCTAAAAATCATAAAGCTCTGGGGCTCCTGGGTTGCTCAGTGGGTTAAGCCTCTGCCTTCAGCTCAGGTCATGATCTCAGGGTCCTGGGATCAAGCCCCATGTCTGGCTGCCTGCTCAGTGAGGGGTCTGCTTCTTCCTCTCCTTCTGCCCCTCCCCTACTCATGTGCCCTCTCTTGGTTAAATAAATAAATTTCTTTAAAAAATAAATAAAAAGTAAAAATGATAAAGCTCCAGATTATTATCCACTTCATCTTTAAATACTTTAACTTTTGCACATAAGTATTTTATAGGATAAATTCTTACAAGACTATCTATAGATTTAGATTTCACTTAGAATAAAATCTATATGCTTTACCACAACCTACAAAACTCTGCATTATCCAGGGTCTCCTATCTACCAACATCATTGCCTGTTACTTGCTCCTTACTCACTGTGATCTCACTGTGTCCTTTCCCCTCCTCTTGGCATGTCTGACTCCTTATCTTCACTCAGGAGTCAGTTTAACTGGAACCTATTCAATGAAAACTTCCCTGATGATCCTAATTAATGTTGCCACTCATCCAAACCCCGCCATATCACCCCACTTATTTTTCCATAGCACTCATCAAAATAAAAATAATTAATTTGCTTGTTTATTTTATGTTTCCCCATATCCTCAAACCCTCCAGAACTGTGAGATCCAATCAGTAACCAGCAGCCACATATGGCTACTTAAATTAATTAAACTTAAATAAAATTGAAAGTTCCATTCCTCAGTTGGTCTCAATAGTACAGATAGAGAACATTTGCAACTCACAGAAAGTTACATTAGACAGTTATATTAATCCAGAACACAATCTTTGAGAGCAAGAGAAAGCTCTGACCAGTGTCCACAGTAGCAATTGATCCATTATAGTTCTCAATTAGTTAAATGTATGGATGGGTACAAGGATGGGTAGATGGATAGGTAGATGGTTGGATAGGTGGGTGGCTGGGTGAACTGCCATTTACACATAATCATTGAGAAGCATGATATTTCAGCTAATGTAATACTATAACTTTTATTCAATCTTCTATTCCTAATATTATTTTATTCATTTTTAAAAGATTTTATTTATTTATTTATTTA